ATATCTATAACTGATACAGCAGTTATAGATGCAGTGAATTAAAGAAACTATTGTTTATATTTGACTCATTATACATTTATATTATAATTGGACATCATTTAATAAATAAAACGTTTTTTTCTATTCAATAATCTACAATACAATACTATAGATTACTTTTCCACTTCTTAGGAGAAATGGATTTTGGCAAACAAGAAAAGGAGTTTCAAGATGAAATGACAAATCCCAATTTCGATGCTTAAATTCAAAGTACAACTTTAATAAAAAACCTTGAGTTTCAAAACTCTGACATTGGACTGATCTAGACAGGACAAATCTTGTTTTAAAGATTTCGATGCAGACATAAAAATGCAATAAAATGTGCTGAATAGACTGTTGATAATATTATATTATTTAAATGAATAAACATATTGCTATAATATCACTTATATCTCGAATGAATCAAGGATAGATATTTAATGTGAGAATTCTCACACAGCTATAAAATTTTAATATCAGAGTTTCTCAGTAATTTTTTTTCACTTCATTAGTACCATAAAATATTTTGATCAAATAATTGTTAACAAAAACAGCTTCTTTTGATTGATTAGGTAGACTTCTTGTACCAAATCAAAGAGGTAGAATACAGGACATCCATGAAAAAAATATTCCCTTCAACTCACTGCTTAACCATATAATTTTAAATAGTTTTTGCATGATAGTAAATAACTAAGAGACCAGACTTCATTGAGTATAATACAAGATATCAGAAAGACTAAATAAAACAGCACCTATTTCGTTCAACTCTTAACAATAAATTATTGAAATCAAATAAATAAATTATTCACTATCACACTATATATTTATATATAGTGTTAAATTTACAGTTTATATACATATATATATAGATAGATAGATAGATAGAAAAAAAACTTTATTCTGGGACTAAGTCCCTTCAGAATAACAATAATGTACAAAATAATAGAATATTACTGGCCTGAACGTTTGAAACAATAAATAAAATTGATAAAATAAAATAAAAAGTAAAGAAAACCTTAGGTGCACAAGCTATATACAATACAGATAAAACTATGTACAGAGCATTTAAAATTATGAACAAAACAATTAAAACTATGAATGAATCACTTGAACTATGAACAAAATTATATATAAGGGTTGAACAACATAAACATACACTTTGAGAACTGGAGAACGAAAAAGAGATACAATGAGTTAATTTCATAAAAAAAAAAAAAAAAAAAAAAAAAAAAAAAAAAAAAAAAAAAAAAAAACTTTACTTGAATATATATATAAAAATAAACAGTTAATTATAATTGAATAAAAAAAAAATGTATGTATTGAAATTCCTACGTCGATAGTAGGAAATGCATGTACTATCTCTTACCAAGTATTATGATTATATGATTGCTACACAATACATATATAATATTAATAGTTAGCTGGTATCTGACTGTTTTTGGAACAGGAATTGGAATAGGAGGTTTTTGAATGTGTATAGGGAAGGGGCATGTCGAATTTTGATCGGGAGGGAATTCCAAAAGTTGACAGAGCGGGCTATAAAGGAATTTTGAAATGAGGCAGATCTATGATAAGGGATGTATAGGTCAGAGGGTCAGGATCTTGTAGTGAGGGAATGGATTGAGGACTTAAATTGGAGAAGGTTGTAGGCATAAGAAGGACGATGATCGGTAATGATTTGATAAAGGAAAGTGCCTAGGAAATATTGTCTTCTTAAGGAGGGGAAGAGCCACCCTAACTCAGTGTAGTGGTGGGAGACACGGGAGCATCTCGGGGTTCCAATTACAGGGCTATTCATAAGTCTTTTGGGTCTATCACGGAGTTCCACCGAGAGGCCATCGTACACCACACAGCTGTAGTCAAAGTGGGGAAAGATGAGAGAGGAAACTTGGAGTCTAGGGGTATTTTGGGGTAGAAGATGGCGGAAGTGATGGAATAGTTTTAGAATATTGTATATACATATATATATAAATATATATATATATATATATATATATATACACACACACATATATATAGTTTGTTAGTTGCAAAATGAGTTTCATTTTGTACTTCTGCTTTAAAAAAAAAAAAAATACGTGGTTAGATTTTCAAAAGTATACTTCTTATGAGCACTAGTGACATAAGAACTAATATTTTATTTTATTGGTTGCTTACAATGGTTTATTATTGAAAATGATAAAACCAAAATATGTGAACTAAGACAGATAGGCTCTAGTTTTGCTAAATAGCGGTCCAATTTTTTTTCATTTTGTGGAATTTCAGAAATCTTTAAAATTATTATGAATACAATCAACTCTAAATTGAATACTATCCAAATTATAAGTAAATGACGTTTTTTTTCTGAATAACTTTTTTCTGTGGATGTTCTTATTTTTCAACACTGAAGTTAATAATTCCCTTGGAAACGCATTCACTTTTTGTTAGATTTTCAATTAATCAGAAAACTAAATATCTCCACAAATATTTTAATTGCTAATTAGAACACTAATCATATTGTATCATCTTAAAATTTATTAATAAGAAAGAATATATTTATCCTTCACCTATATTAAATCAGAGAAACCTAATCCATGACCTGCCATAAGTGCTCAGTCTTAAAATCCACATCAAAACTGAATTTGACCCATCTCAATCCGCCTACTTATGACTGTCCTTGTTTTGAAATGTTTAAATTTACTTTATTTATATTAATAAATAAATAAAAACAGATAATGTGATTCACTAACACTGTGAAATTCTCAATCCAACAATACCCATACCATTCACGGTATTTGAACATGACAGGACTTTATGATTGGCAACAAAACGATTTGAGGCAAAGAGACTTAATGTAAGTGGGATAGATCAGATAGGTTATTCATTATTTAAAAATTAAACCATTGATATTTGAAGAAAACATTATTACAATATTTTTCCGTACTATATGTGGTGTCCTGTCAGTAGAACGAAATATTTAAAATTAAATACTTAATAGTTGACATCAAGATCTACAAAAAGTTCGTTTAAGCAATTGGTCAATTTCCAGCAGAAAAGTAGGAAATTTAAAATTTCTGTTTTTTTAAGAGAAAAACTTAATTAATATATAAATTTTCATGAAAATAATTGAATCTGTCAATAGGTTTCTTTATTTTAAATGTAAATTTTAGTAAGAAACATCAAGTCTGTCACTGATAGATACACATCCATTCCTGACAGAAATCTGGGGGAAAACAAACAATTTCATAACCACCATACATAAAAAATATTTGAAATATCATTATTTTTATAACTAAAATGTGTTTTTAGGTAATTACATTTATTGCAATACATCCTATATCATGGAAAAACAAGAAATTAAAGCTTTGCAACAGTTAATTGTAATTAATTTTACAGAAAACACGGATACTTTAAGGTGCCTGGATAGAAAATGAAATAATTTCTTTACATAACTTGAGATGAATCTCAAAAATTTTCCTAATAAACCTCAGTTTAATTCATATGGACTTAAAGCTTATTAAATGAGGAAGTTTTTGTAAAAGTGGGGTAAATGCAGTACAGTCGAAGGGTGAGAAAAAAATCACAAATAATTTATGACTTTTTTTTAAACGGAACTTAGCTGTGTTAAGCCGCTCAAAAGTCCTCTTTAAATAGTTTAACCAATGACAAACTACTTTTTTTAAAAAGTAAATTTTGGCTAGTTTACTATGGAACAATGTTTAATTACTTAAACTAAATAATTTTTAAGTTATCACTTTCTATTCAACAAAAACCATGACTCGCTTAAAAAAAGAAATCTTAAATTTCTTACATTTCTTCTGGAAATTGGCCAATTGCTTATATATGAACTTGTCTGTAGATCTTGATGTCTATTATTAATATTTTCCTCTACTGACGGGAAACCCTGTATATATCATATATGATTAACACGCCAAGATCTGGCTTTGTTTGAACCCTCATCTGGAGTCTGAAGTGGGGTCCCCTTATCAGGACTATATATATATATATATGTCTTGATAAGCGGGTATAGATATATCAGTAATTTCCAGGGTGGGGTGATTTTCAGTGGCCAAGTGGGATAACGCATGTGCATAGCACCGCTGTTGCCTGCAACCTGATCAAAGATAAAATAAGTACAAGTTTGCATCCCAGAGAGATTTTAACTCTGGCATTAATCCCTTATCTTGCAGATTGATCCCTTACCACCGAGACCCAGGAAAACCTCCGTATAGCCTAAAAGGCAAGGAACAAAAAAAAAAAAAAATACAAGTGGTTTCCAGGGGTTTAAATATATAATAAATTTACATGCCATCAGAAGAAGCTCCTAATCATTCTACGGCGATAATAAAGTACATAACCTTTATTTTGGGGAACCCTTCTAAGGGGCCCCAAAAATTTGTGAAAATAAAAGAATACAAAACAATTATATGTATTGGGCTATGAGAAAAATATCAATGGTCTATGAGCGCTCAAAGGAGGCTCCAATCATTCTACAGCTATAAAAAAAAAACACATAACATTTATGTTGGGGACCCATCGAAGGGTCCCCAAAAATTTTCTAAAATAAAATAATACAAAACAATTGATTTGGGGTATATAAGGGGGTTAATAGAATAATATAAAAAATGATTTTAGACCCCTCTTGGCTTGGGGACCCTCGACTTGCTGATCTGACCAGACCAAGCCTGGTGATTAAGTGAAAGTAAAAATAATAAAAGAAAAGAAATGTTAAATTTTATAACCGAATTATTGATGAAAACAACTTAGAAATGAGACTTGTCTTAACAAACTTTGTAAGTGAAACCTATTTAGAAAAATGAAATAAACAGACTAAATAAAAAGAAATTTATATTAGATTATTAAAAAATTAAATTGAAGTAGTTAATAGATGGTTGACAAAACATCAACTAACCAAACATAGGCCAATGTTTCTTATTGGTTATATTACAGGGAGATTTTTCAGAAAAGAAATAACAAAAAATGAAGAGGATGGTTTAAGAGTTCAAATAACAAAATATTTTAATTATATACATATATTTCTTCTCTTTTTTTTTTTGTTATATAAAATAACTTACAAAAATAAATCAAATATTTATAAATTAAACTTGCATTTTGGTATCAGGAGTACTAAAAAACAGCACTAAACATAGCCATAAATGAAGGACAACCTAAAAAAAGATAAATAAAAGATGTATAATTAATTTGAATCTAATAAAGATCAATTAGCAACAAGAAATTTTGTATATTACCAAGTAACAAAATAAAATTATTCTAGCAAATGGATGTCTTCGTAAGATTATACATCGACTTAGAGCTTCAACACAGCTGTAAGCTTTTTTGACACTCCTATCAAAAGGTGTATGCATCATAAAACTAGGAAGTTGAGCTTTGGCTGAAACAAACAAAAAATATATTAAAAATATGATAAAACAAACATTTCCATAAAACAAATAATAAGGATGTGATGGCCGAGCAGATTGGGGCGAGAGGGTCCCAGAGTGTCCTGTTCTAAACATTGTGTTTGATTCCCATCTGTGCCAGTTTATTCCTAAGTGGTCCAAGAAATGAATCTTGAATTAAACAACTCTTGGAAAACTCATTTGAATAATAATGGAATTATCAACAACATAAATGAAACTTGTCAACTAAATCAGAGCAGATATCTGAAAAGATTCAGCATATCTTACGTGGTAGATTTTTTTTTATCCATATGTTTCCTTAAAATCCTTTTCTGTCTATCTATCTATATCTATTTTTAGGCCAGTAATATTCTATTATTTTGTTCGATTATGTTATTTTAAAGGGACTTAGTCCCAGAATAAAGTTTTTTTTCTATCTATCTATCTATACATGTATATAACTAAATGGAGTAAATAAAAACGTAATGCAGAATGGAATATTTGAGAACAAAGCCATGCAGCCATGGGTAAACAAGTAAACCATTATTTGTTACTTTAAGAATTTGTTACTTTAAGAAGATTAGAATCAATTACAATAAATACGTATAGAATATAACAAAACATTAGAAGAATAAATAAGAAATAAATAATTCAAACAGATAAATAAGACATTAATTGATTATTAGAATACACTTACCATCATCTGTATCGTTAACATAGAGTGCTTGACTGTGATTTAAATCTTGGCCATAGGAAGCCTAAAAACCATTCCATTTTAGTATATTATCATAAAAAGTATTAATCACAATCAACTCACTAATTACTTTAGGCAATTACAATCACATACAATAATGATTTTTTTTTTAGTTAAGAAAGACATATCTTTCAGCCATTTTGGACGCGCAGTTTTTATGTAACAGTCGTTTGAGTGAGTTTCATCAAGTATTGGGATGCCATTAAATATTTGTTTTTGAAAGGCAATACACCTATGCAAATCAAAGATGAGCTGGATTCTGTGTATGGGGACTCTGCACCATCATTTATCACAATGAAATTTTGGGCAGCTGAATTAAAATGTGGCCTTAAGAGCTTGGGAGAGATCTCACATCTCAGCGGTTGCCATGGCAAAAATCCACAAATTACGGTTTGAACTGCTTGACCATCTTCCTTACTCACCATATCTAGCCCTAAGCGACTTTTTGTTATTCTCTTATCAGAGGAAGGAGATTTTCGTCAAATGAAGAGGCAATCACCTTCGTGAACAATTATTTTGCAGAGAAAAACGCTGAGTACTTTTTGGACGGATTACAGAGATGGGAGCATCGCTGGGAGAAGTGTGTAGAGTTACAAGGAGACTATGTTGAAAAAAAAAATTAGAAAAAATGTCTTTTATTTTTGTTAAGTCGGAAATTTTTCAGACCACCTTCGTAAAACGTAGTTTCAAACGAGCTATTTGACCCTACACGTTATGACCTACTTTAGTATAGCTGCTATCAACAAGTAACAAATTAGCAATCTAGTACCCATTAATATTTTTATAAAAATTGATAAATGAATGAAAAGACAACAGATTATGTGAAATAATAGATTATACCATCATTTCTATTGCATGTTATCATATAATATAAATCGATTGCAGTACAAACAAAATGATCAATACTCACCTTTACCCTTTCAAGCTGTAGCCTCAACTGGCTCAACTCCACGGTCAAATGTTCTATTGTTTCCTGCTTCTGAACCAGAGCTGCGGTGAGCTCTGGTTCCGGCCTAGTCACAACACGCTCAGATAACTGTTTGCGCAGTCTTGTCAGCTCCCTTTCCCTCTCTTTTAACCTGGAATTAAGAGAACCAACTTGCCTCCATAGCTCTTCTCTAACGCTATGCAATTCCTAGAAAAATGTATACACTGATTAGATATTTAGAAAATCAATAAAAAAAAAAATATATAAATTTTTGAAATAAATTGTCAAATCAATCATGTCAAATCATGAACACTCGATAGCAATAGTAAAATTCAGCAACTAAATACAATTTTTCTGTTTTAAGTATTTAAGACTTTTGAGTGGGCTTCATAACAAAGTGAAACACATTTGACATTTTCATAAAGTTGATAAAAAAACAATTGTTGTAATATAGCTTCAATTCAAATTCTGACAATATTTTTTCACACTTCAAGTAAAATATTTTTAAACAAATAATTTAATAATTTTATTTGTCCTATAACAAAAATTGGCTTTTTACCAATATTCTAAAAATGACATCTCTCTCTGCCTTAGATGTTCAGCCGCTCATTATTATTCTTGTATAATTTTTTTAATTTCAATTTGTATATCCATTTTATTTAAAATTTAGATACACCCAGGTTTCTAATACAGGAGAAATTTATAAGTCAGCAAAAATGATAAAGTTTAAAAAATATATTTTGATAGTTATGAAATTACCAATTCAGATTTTTTATTTGGTAAAATTATTTCAAACATTCTCTTTCTGATTTGTAGCTCGAAGAACCTAGCAACCCTCAACTTCGACCAAAACTGAGATTTGACAGCCTTGCGTTATCATCATAGTAATTGACTTGAAACTTTAGAAGACTCAAATAGATTTTCTGAGATTCTTCATAAATGAAACTGTAATACACTCTGGTAATGAATATTACTGAAAAGATTTCAATAACTAAGGCCAAATGTTAGAAAAATATTTTTTTCATCAACAAAGTCCCTTATACATTATAGATTGAACATAATAATTCTCAGGACAAAGAAAATACTATGTATCATGGATAGATACAAGTGTGATATAATCAAATAAATAAATTCTCAGTGGGTACCATTAGGTTGTATTTTTATAATTGTACCTCTATGGTACACTGAAGAATATATATATTTGTGTGTGTGTGTGTGTGTGATATATAAAGATTAAAAGTTTTTGAAATCTAATAAAATTTATAAATTTTTGAGCTAAAAATATTAAATATAAATAACCTCAGCATGGGAGGCTGAATGTTCTTCAGCAGCTAGCCTCCGAGCGGTTTCTTCTGCCAGCCTCGCTTGGGATGACCTCAAAGCTGCAACTGCTTCTTCTCTTACCGTCTCAAGCCTCCTTTCTGCTTCCAATTCTGCTTTCCTAGAATTCTCAAGCTTTTTTCTTATATCTTCCAACTCATCGATGAGTTTAGCCTTTTCCTCGCTATTGAAAATAAGAATAAAAAAACTGATTGAGTTAACTTTCATTAAATGAGTCTTTCAGTTGACAGAATGGCCAACTCCAATTTAAACATTTTTTAATAAGTTGATATTTCTAATTAGAAAATTTATATCTGTACAGACAGTGAGTAACTTGATTTCAGAGAAGGTGATTACAGTGTTGAAATATAGAACTGCGAATTAAGGTATACATTTTCCCACAAGTAATATCACCAAAATTAATAATAAAGAATGTTGAAATTGGGAAGGTTAGGACATTTATGGCAAAAGTTTGATATTTTATGCCTTTGAGGTGTGTTTGGTGTGTGGGTTGTGGGATTTAAGTGATTGGTGAGATGGGTGTGGTGGGGAGGTTACTTGGGGAACAGGGAGTTTAGGGGGTTTGTTTTTGGTGTGTGGGGATGGGGAGGAATGTGTGTGTGGGATTTGGGGGCTAATCGTTTAGTTTGGGTGTTTGGGGGGGGTTGATATTTGGGTTTTGGATGATTTGGTGGATAGTTGGGTTGGGGAGTTGTGGGGTAGGGTGGTGGGGGGGGTTGTTAGGTAAGTGTGTGTAAGTTGGGGTGGGTGGATTGGAGGGGGTTAGGTGGGGAGATTTGTGTGGTATGTTGTTGGTTTTGTTTTGGGTGTTAATTGAGATTTGGATGGGGGAAGTGTAGGTTTTTTGTGGTGGGGGGGTGGGTATTTTGGGGTATGTGGTGGGGGAGATGATGTGGGTAGGTTCTACAACAGTAAGTTTCCTTCTCAACTGATTGAATGATATTCCAATATCTGATATACTAAAATAAATTACCATTTGCCAGAGATAGACTTGAACCCGGGGTCAAGAGTTAGTTACTGTATAAACAATAAAATAGTCAAATAAAAGCCTGATACCTGGATTGTTGCAGTTCTAGGTTCACAAAACTTTCAGCATTTGAATTTCCATTTTGTTTTTTCAATTCATTAATAAGTTTTTCTTTTTCACTTAATGTCCATTGAGCCTTAGTTCGATATTCTTCTAATTCCTTTCTGGCTTCATGAACCCTGGCATTAGCCTCTGACAACTCCTTGGCATTTTCACTCCTGTCCTTTAAGAGAGTTTGTTCTAATTCACTGACCCTGTAAAACATTTTTACAAAATAAAACTATTAGAGTAAATCCATATGTGCTTGTTTTAGGTGAATTTTTTTTAATATTATAAAATAACGCTGTGTTTTATTTCTTCACCATATTTATTTCAATTTACATAGCTACATTTCAACTGGTAAGCCATCTTCAAGCCATTTTATCCAAATTTAATCTGACTTTGAACTACATTCAAACAAGCATGGTTGGATTAAATGGCTTGAAGATGGCTTACCAGTCGAAATGTAGCTATGTAAATTGAAATAAATATGGTGAAAAAATAAAACACAGCCTTATTTTATACTAGAGTATTTAAAACAGTAGATATTTCTAATTTAATAGCTATCAGTTTGCCATGTTGGATACTTTGAATAATTATTTTTCTTAATTTGAATTGTGATTAATTTCTAATTTATGAGAATATTAAATAGTCAGGATTTTCCAACGTCAGACAGAAATTTTGGATTATTTATATTTCTCATAAAAAAATAAAATAAAAAAAACGATCAACAAAAATATCCATCTCTAGATTTCTAAATTAATATTGAATGACAAACCAATTATAAGTCAAAAGGTAAAAATGATAAAGATAAAGTAAATATAAACTCTATGAGATTCGATCCCCTATAAGGACAAGCGGATACCAAATTGGAGAATGTATTGTTTGCTAAAACTAGAGAACATTATATCCAACCTATCAAATGAATACACAAGAATACTTGAATGAGCACTTTTAATATGATATCATAAATCTAGTAATGTTAATAAACAGACTAATGACTATTTTGGTATCAAAAATATCAATGTTGATTTTCCTTAAAATAATTAGTTTTGGAGAAGGTAGTTAGTAAGCCTCAGGGAAGATTTTCAATAATTTAGTAAGCAAATGTCAAAAAGTTACTTCGTACAATTTTTTTTTCAACACATATCTTATAGAGTAATATTACATTTTTTCACATTTAAGGACATTAGTAGTAATGATAGAGTAGCTCATTCACACTCTATATACAATAAATAAAAATAAATTAAACAGAAAAAGAATAATATTAAAAGTATAAGTATATAAACAAAAATAAATTAAACTAATCAAAATAACAACTTTAATACAATCATACTTTTATACAATATTTCACTTAGGATAACTCAGAGTCAAGCCTTTCTCCTCACTTGCTGAAGTAAAGGCAGGACTCTAAGAGATCCCAGTGTCTCTCACTCAGCCGCATTACTGGTATTAAGGACCAGTGGAGGCTGAGCAGGTACTATTTCAAGTGAAAAAAAAAAATGGCTCTATCTCAAACAAGGAAATAGCAGTTCAGTTTTAAGTGTCATTGGGCTTTGTTCCCTTTTCCACTTAACGATTTAATTATATTTCAGGAAGAAGTAGAAACAAAAAGAGATACCTGATTCGAAGAGAAGCAATATCTCCTTTCAGAGCTTCTTCTTTATGTTGGGCATCCAATTGGCATTGAGAAAGTTTTGCTTCAACACTTTCTAAAGCAAGCTGATCTTTACCAGTTTTATTCAGTGACTTTTTTAAACTTAAAAAAAAACATACAGATATCCTTAGCGAATAATAAAAACAATAGTAACTTAATAAATATAAATCCAATAAATCAATATAGTTTTATACAGAACTAAAATATATTAAAATATTATACAAATAATTTATACTTGCTTCATATTTTCATTGCACAGCTCAGCATTATCATTTTCTAAATTTGTTATCCTTTGTTTTAATGAAGCTATTTCCTTTTCTAAAACAACACTATCTCCTTCCTTTTTTGATAATAAAGATTTAGCAAGGGTCATCTCTGCAAATTGTACATATTTGGTTTAAAAGTAAAATAAATATGACCAACTATAAAATTTCTACGGGGTTATAAAATAAATTTGAAGTTTAAGTTTAAGTTTTCAAGGTCTTAGGGTTAGTTTGTTCTACTAATGAGGTATTTTCAAATAAAAATTACATACATATTTAGAAAAGAAAAAAAAAACAGAAATGATTTATGTTATAAAAGATATAAAATTATTCAATTAAATTAATTGGAAATGAAACTACATAATATTATCTTTTGCTTCTCCAAACGCAATAAACAATTTTTTACCCATTGAGTGAATAGAGGTAATTTACCACTGGAAGTAAAACATAGAATTTAGCAACAAACAAACTATATGTTATGTTACTGTCGTAAATAAAACATCACTGAAACAGAATTCCTGGATGTAATCCACTTGTAGCTGATATTAAGAAACCATTTAAGTCACAAATGAAATAGATACATTTTATGCATTTATTCAAAGTCATTAAGTAACATTTTATAATAATACTATATTATTTTTGCGATGTTCAGTAATAATTCAAATTGTGATGTTATTTGAAGAATTTTTCCGCAATTAAACCAAAACGTTTATCACTTACAATAGGAAGATTTGGATGTGGAATCACCAATTTCAATGAAAATTTTTTGTGATAACAGCCGAGAAAAAAATTATTTTGTATAATCTCAACAATTTATTTATATTTATGGTTTTGTGCCTTTTACAGTATAGATTTTAAGGTTATTATATAACAATATATTTGTTGCTAGTAAAGAATAAGAACAAAAATTCACAGACCATATTAAATTAGTATAAATGTATAAAACACCACTTTGAAGTAAACCAGGCCAAAAAACAAAAAGAAAATATTTGTTTTAATCCTTTAAAATCTTAAAATATAAATTTTCATAGAAAGCAGGCAAATATAAATTTTCTGTTTTGATTTTTTGTCTTGTTATATGGTGTTCATATCTCCACAGAATTTTATTCAAACTCAACAATAATATATACGGTTAGGACGTTGTAATTCTGCTCTTTCAACACAAGACAGATTATATAATAACTTTTAGATTATATAATTTTACAAGAAAGAAAATTCAGAGCGAATTTTCTTTTTAAAAAATCTTAAATATAGGAGAGTACATTTCCGGTTCCAATTTTCTACTGCTATAAAAATTCAGTTATTGGCCTGAGTTGGAGGAACAGAAATTCAGTTTTGCAACTATTTCGTTAGGGAGAAACAAAATTGATATTAGTTTTTAACACCTTAAAAAACCCTTAAATATGAATTATTATAGCAATTGAAAAATCTAAATTTGCTGCACAAAATTTTAACTGGGGTTCAACAAGCCCAGGCAAAAATTGTGATAACTTTAGAATCGTTCCACCGATTCACACAAAAATGATTAAGGATTTAGGGCACTGCATATTAAACAAAATGGTATAAACCCGACCTTTGTAAAAAAATTTGAACCAAAGATGTAAAATAAAAACCGGTTAAAAGTTTTTCTTAGTTTCAAGCTTAAAAAGGAAAGAAATCCAAAAGTTATTCATGTTCGTTGGAAGAGCAGTAATTTAGCTTTCCAATGTTTGTACCGAAGTTGAATTTGAAGAAAATCCTGAGGAGTAATGAATGGTTTAGTTGACGGTCAGAAAGAAACATGTAAGAAAATCCAGTACTAAAGGTTGTATTTTTTTATTTATGTAAAAATTAGTATTTAATAGTTTTAAAGGTCCCTAAAAATGATGCAACCTGAACTGAAAGTAGGTGATATCCTAATAACATGAAATAATAATAAAAAATTATATACATGTACAATTTAAATATTATTCTTCTAAAAATATTAAGAGATACATTTTTGAAAGGGAAGAAATGACCTTCTTAAAGCAGAATAATTCACCTCTCTCTGAAGACTTAGTCCGATTCATTAGCAATGACATTTCACTAGACAAACTACGAACTTCATTCCTAAGCATTTCATTTTCATTTTTCAGGTTAACTATAGTATCTTTCTGAATTTCATCAATGTTAATTTTAGTATTTTTCGGTTGAGTTGTAGATGTATCTTGTACCTTAGTGACATCCTAAAAATAAATAAAAAATACTATCAATTGTGAAAAAAAAATTTTTTTGTAGGCAAAAATATCAAACAATGTCTCCAAACTTATAACCAAGCCCCGGATTTTCATGCAATTGCATATTTTGTTTGCGTTATTTTTTTTTTAACCGCTGATCAAATATCTATACGAATTAGTACACTGTGATGCAATTAGCCAAATTTTATTTTGCATATTTTGATTAATTTAATGAAATAAAAAAAAAAAATATATACACACATGTAAATGAATATTTGTTTATGTATACAAATTAAAATGCAATATTGAAGATGCAATTCAAGATTACAATCCTAGGTTTATTTTCAATGAACATCTACCACATTTGTAGACTACCTAACTTCCGCTATACCCTTTAATAATTCTCCAATTTATAGAAACCATTCCCCCTTCTTATCCCATGTAAACATCATACCAAGTTTCAATTTTAGTTTGTTGCCTACATTCTGAGCAAGATATCGTATTTCTGTCCATGAAAAATGGAAGAAGTTTCTATAAAAATTCAGGGCTCACAATTCTGGAAGGTATTAATAAAATTTTAAATGGCCAAGATTCATTTGTTCATAGCGACATTGACATCAACCCGGTAATTTTAAATGGATATAAATTTGTCTCTATCATGCCTTTTGATGTAAAAAGATCATTTTCTAATTATAAAAATATTTTATAAAAGGTTAGGTTTCACAAAAGCAAATTTAGCTATGTTTCTGGTAATTAATTTTAATACAGAACATGTCTGCAAAGTAGACTAATTCAAATGTTTTATTTATTTTACGCTATTTATTCCACAAGTTGTTATTACGTTATTGTTTCAACAAATACTTATGCTAGATTTTTATCCATTAACATACAAAATTTTAAAGCGTTTATTTACTTATTGTTCCATATTTTTTATCTTTTACTACTGTGCTTATTTAATTATGTGATAATACAATGATTGTTTTTTTCGTTTGTATATATTTTATACTATTTTGATATTTAAATTTTTTTAATGTGATTCATGTTATGTTTTTGTTACCATTATAATGTATATATGTATATTATAACCTTATTAGCAATATATGTTTAGTTATTTTCATTCTTTATTTTAAATATTAAAAAAAAATATTGTAATTTCCAATCCCTCCATAATTCCTTTTCGTTTAAAAACTTTTTGTATGCACGTTATTATATTTAAATACGTTGTTAGTAATCGTGTAATTATAATGTTTAATATATTTAGAGACCAGTTACTGCATTTTCATGTGTTTTTTTTACTGCATATTTCAGGGGTTTTTTTACTACATATTATATGGCATATTTGGTGGGTTTTTACTGCATAAAAATCCCGGACCTTGCTTATAACATACCAAAATTTCCACTTGCTCATCTGTACTGACGAACGCTATGAGAGATATTGATGATTCTCAAAAAATATTTTGTTTATGGAGAGGTAATGAAGAATTTAACAACTGCCTCTAGCAGATAATTATTTAATCTGCTATATCAGTCATGAATTAATACTCCTAGAACATGCCTAGCCTCTATAAAATGGGTACCCTTTAAAGAAAATCCTGACAGTTGAACTTAACCTCGAACTAATCATCTCCCTCCAAAGCCAGGCCTAAAAACAGTACTTCCTTACTGAACCCAAAACCCTTCCTGGATTGTAGTGGTGCAGATTATTTTATTTTACTTTTGCTTACCCATAATATTTTTTTCTTTCTCCCCTTCCTTGCGTTTTCAGCTATAAGGGTTTTTTCCCGGGCCAGGGGAGAGGACAGCGAACTTGGCTAATGCCAAGTTAGCCCACTCGGCCCCCAATTAGCAAATCTCTTACTCATATCTCAAATATATAGTAAAGAAAAGTATTGAAATTGTGAAAAATTTATAATTCCACTTTTCAACAAAAATACAAGTTTCAAAATCCCCGAGTTCAAATAATCAAGACTCGCAAAATGAATTCATTTGTGTATTCATACATTTTTTAATATAATTATATGGCGAATTATATGTATGTAAAAAAACTATTTATAAATAACATTAAAAAATAACTATTTATAAATAGTTGGAAAGGTGAAGATTTTAGAAAAATAATATCAAATTTATAAAGTCATAGAAGTTAATGAAGAGTGGAAAAAAACCCAATGAATAATTGTTGTTTTGACCACCATTAGATAGCAAACCCATGCTACTCTTAGTTGAAACAATATGTAACTAGTAAAATATATATAATCATACTAAGAATATATTGAGTTATTTTGCAGATGTTCATTGAAAAACAATTTTCTGAAATTTTTAATATAATAATCATAATTTGTTAAATTTAATATTATAATTATTTTGGATGTTGACAGATGTCAAATAGATAATTATTCGAAAATCTAGATAATTCAAGAATTGGTGCCGATTTCGACTATGAGATTCAAATAATCATCACCATCTAGATCTTGTAGTGGATAATATATCCCCAAAAGACTGGCAATCAGGGATCCAATCTAGTTAGTTGTGAAGAGTTTCAAATTAGTGTTTTTAATTCATATTCTGTCAATCTATTCAAAGTTAATTCAAGGGTGTGTACTAACTTATTGTTTATAAAAAGGTTATGTGATTCCCCTTTCACTAAAGTCACACAGGATTATAAAAACATCAAAATCCATCAAAAGCTGCTAGAAAGAGAATTGCCGAAGTATGCGGAATCTATTTTAAAGATGGATATATAGATGAATGTTGAAATTGTAAGGGCATACAGGAAACTGTAAGGAAATGTACTCAGAATATGCAGTCAATTGTCGTGTTTAATAAATTTCTCTATACACAGTTGACTGTTGAAATTAAAAGGTTAAAAAATAGTCAGGATATGCAGTCAATAATCATTATTCTTAAATTAGGCCAACAACACAACACGATAATGACTGTATATCCTGACTAACTTAAGCATTTTTTCACAATGGCAATTACCTTGAATCATACATTTCATTAATGATATCCAAATCAGTTGTTCATAAAATAAAAAAAATGTATCACTAAAAATAATCATTAATAAATCTAAAGAATCAGAATTGAATGTTAAAAATGCAGAACATTGTACCTGCAAAGCATCAATGTCAATTGATGAATTATTCAAGTATTGAATAAGTTTATCTTCTTCGTTAATGGGTTTAACATGGTTTATTTCTTCACTTAGGTTAACAGTATTGCTGTGTTTAGGTGATACTTTTTTTAAAACTGGTGGACTGTATTTTTCTTGGTGCCTGGAACATCAAATCATAAATATCAAATATTGAAAATTGTGAATAGATCAAATCAAGAATCACAAAATGATAATCCGCAACTGACAACTATAAAATGACATTCAGAAAACAATACAATCTATCAATATTAGATCTAATAAATAAAAAGATTCAATGTTGATGACCTCATAAATTTCTAACAAGCAAGAATCTATCTATCTCCCTTTCCTATCTATCTTTCTATCTAGCTTCCTCCAACAAAATTCAAATCTACATTATCAGACCTAATTTCATCTCAATCAACCTGACATTAAACTGTCAGGACTCGTTATCTTTCTTATGATGTTAAGGTTATTTATACCAAAGACTTTACTGTCCAATTGCACTTATTCATTATTTTAAAGACATACAAAACCATAAATGTAATAAAATCAAACTTACATGTTTTCTTCAACAAAAACATCTTGAGTAACAGGTATTTTCTTCTTTTTTTTCTTATCTTTTTTCAACACAGTAGCAGCACCACTATCAATTTTGTTAAGGAAATCTTCTGCCTTGCCAGCTATTTCATTAATCCATGACATATTGTTAGTCAGTTTAAACTGATAAGTAAAACGATTACAACAGTAGGATTATCAATAACCGGAAGACATGAGAAGGAAACTAGTAAAGCACAAAACATCAAACATTAAAATGACCAATACCAGGTTATATTACATGAATAACGTAGCGTTAAATAATCGAAAGTGACTTTTAAAATTAATTAACAATGAGATTACCTTAAATGTTACAGCAAAAAAAAAAAAATAAGAAGAAACTAATTCCTTAAATACCAGATCTAACTTCAGTATGTGTCACTTTGACATAACCTTCTTTGACAAGTTGTCAGTGTTGTCTACAGCATAATAAAATATTATTTACATATTGTAAAACAATTTAATTTCTTCAAGATCAATTGTTTATATAATGAAAAATTACTGATCCGTGTTTGATTCCACAACATTTTCTTTCTAAGGTAAAGTTCAAAACCATTACAAGCTTTAAAATACTTTTTATTCTTTCGAAGGCACTACAATCCGATCCAGACGTCTCGACCTTCTCAATGAGCCTCCACCAAATGGTTTGGTCTTGTTCTGTTTATTTCCACTTTGCAAGCCTAAGAGAATTTGGGTATCTCTGATGGCTGCATTTTCGTATTTAAGGTTTAGTCATTCTGGAAGATTAGGTCCAGGGTGCCCAGAAGGGGGTTTCAGGACACAAGTTGCATCATTAACATTTTTGATGCTGCCACGTTTCAACGGAGTTGTTAATGTTAAGAATTCTTAAATTAGCCAGTAGGCTGAGAACCGAAACTAGTACTACTCCTCTTAAATTAGCCAGTAGGCTGAGAGATCTTTCCACTCCATGTTTTCTCACCCACTTCCACACACTTCGCTTCCCAGCCCAACGGATCAGTAGCTCGACGCTTCCTCTTCCACTCCTCTGGATTGCTCCCTTGAACTGGATGGCTCCAGCGACTCTCACCCTGAATCCTCTTCACCCAATAGCCGTGGTTGGCATCTATCTCCTGCTGCTGGTCCGCTTGGAGCCGGTACCATCGATAGGGACGCTGAATCCGACCTGACAGGTGTTCCATGTGAATACATTGGGACCAGGCTATCGTCGCACTGTTCACCAGCCTCGTTATTTTTTTCAGGTACGCCCTGGTATCCCTTTCAAGTATTTATCATTATTGTAGTACCACGTTTCCAGGGCGCCCACGACTATTGGGGCTATCTTCACCTCCCTGTACCTGGCACGAAGGGAGGCCTTTAGGGTGGAGCATTTCTCTGCTTTCCTCGATCTCGCCGAGTCGAATGCCTCTTTGCGATTCTCAAAGGGGGATGGTTACATCTATGATTATCGCCGTTTAATAAGTTTAAACATAGTTCTTATCGCCGTCAGTGAACTAAGGACAGTATAATATAGATACAAATAAAATTAATTTTCATTTCATAAGTTAGTGTAACATAATGTATTATGAGATAGAATAAATAATTTTCTTTAGTGGAATCACATTATAGCTTACGTGATAATAAACAAAAACATGTGTACAATCCTATTAGTCCAGTCAATGAATGATTCTAGAAGGAAATGGAGGTGACAAAATTTTTGACTTTGGGACATTGTTTGAATTAGTAAGGAGGTAATAATAATAAATAAATAATAAAAGGCTTAGCGAACCCGAAGGTTCGATGTCGACACCACCAATCGCTTATTACACACCTCCCTCCACCGTTCGCCGTCCAAACCCAGTCCCTTCAGATCGGTTTTAATGCAATCTTCCCACCTTCGCTTCGGTCTTTGTGTAACCGTCTGAACTCTCCGGTTAACTCATCCTTCTTCGGTCCAAATATTCTACGCAATACTTTATTTTTAAAAACCTGAAGACGCTGCTCATCCCTTAATGTAATCGGCCAAGTTTCGCATCCATAAAGAACTGTAAACATAAAGATCTTGAATAGTATATATAGGCAAGATAATTGTTTTATAGATTCTAATTTTTAAATTCCGGAACAAGAGACGCGATCTAAGTAGTTTTGTCACAGAAAAATAACAAGCATTTCCTGCCTTCAGTCTAACCTTAATCTCTTCTTCAATTTGTTTTTTTCTAGATATTGTAGAGCCTAGATACCTAAATTTATCTACCTGTTCAAACATATTACCATCTATATCGATATCACCAGTAGTATCGCCATTTTTGCAGCTAACCATATATTTTGTTTTATCCACGTTTATTTCAAGTCCTAGTTCTTTACCGGCTTTCATTAACGTTGTCGTATTTAGTTTTATAGTTTCGACGTCTTCGCTTAAGAGTACCACATCATCCGCATAGCCAAGCACGGATGTTGTCCCACCCAGATCCAACCCTTTTTCGGTACGCATTAGCTCCCTAATGGCATGTTCTAATGCCAAATTGAACAGGGCAGGCGAAAGGGAACCCCCCCGTTTTAAACCCGAACGAACCTCAAATTTTTCGGACCCATGACTATTTGTGGTGTTTGGTGAACTAAAGATATGTGAGTAGGGCGTTCAATCCTACGTCACACCCTCCAGCAAGTCTGGTGGGCCCCTGCCTCCAGCAAGTCTTGAGGGCCCCTCTCATTGTTGGTCAGCGAGTCCATCGGACTTAGCCGGGAGGAACTTCCAAGGAATTTCCACCGACCATCCCCACATCCGCCACCCGTGGGACGCTCCCCATACGCTGTAATGAGCCCGTAAGCGAGGAGTAAGGAAGCAAACATACTAAAAGTCTCCACTCCTAGGTGAGCTGGAGTCACGGGGAAGCTGGAGTTTCTAAAATACATTTATTATTTAAAAAGATCTGAAAGAATGGAAACAATCTATTTTTATCCGTATTGATAAAAACGGCTCGAGGACGAATTGTAATAACTATAGAGTGACCTTACTCCTTCCAGTATGTTAGTTATAAAAGATCTACATTCTTCTTAACTAATCGAATCACGGAATACGCCGAGGAAATCATCGGAGACTATTAATGCAAACTTATTCAACTATTGGTCAAATATTTTCTTTACGGCAAATATTGGAGAAAAAAAATAGACTACAACGGCGTTGTTAATGAACAGGAGCTAATGAGTTGTACGTCGATTTCAAAAAGGCTTACGATTTTATTGACCGTCAGAAGCTGTATAAAGGTACTATTTTGCTGGCGCGGCCCACGACTTTAGTGGAATAGAAAGGAACCTATTTCGCTGGCGCTGCTCGGCAGTCTAGGTATGACGTCATATCTAAGCTACTCCTATCTGACCGCTCCTGAAGCAGTGGAGCTGTTGGCGGTTCGGCGGTTGTAAGTTATGTTATCATATCAGAGCATTGCTTTGATGATAACAGTCACGTCGATACGTTTTATTTCTATGTTTCTTTCAAGTCTGGCAAAATTATAACAAATATTGTTTACAATTTAAACAATGCAATAGTAAATTATTTTTTTAAGGTTGAAGTAACAAGATTCTTTATTTATTTATTCCACTAACAATATTTTACAGCGAAATTCAAATATACCTAAATCCAAACGATACTAAATAAATTAAAGAATCCAACAAATTTTAACGTCAGATTTAAAATCCACTCATTGAAAAATCGATTTGTATTTTTTTGTACTATTGTAATTATAGTAGTGATTTACTGATTACTATCGATAAAACATTACTGTGATTTAATTACAAATATATGATATTTATTTCTAATCAATTATGCAATAATTAATATTACTTTTCAAAATAATAATATCTAATATTAGAGGGACTATTGTTGGCGTTTCCCGCCTTTCTGTTCTTTTTTGGTTAGTCCTCAATTTTGGTTTGTTCATCTAGGTAATAGCAAATAATGTCCAAGAAGGTATCCGATGATTTTGATGATGAGCATCTCATCGAAATGGTACAAAACAGAATTCTGTATGATCACTGGCATGCAGACTACAGAAATGTCAAGAAAAACAATTATTGGAAGAAGATAGGGGATTGTTTACAAAAAGAAGGTAATCATAACTTTACTTATTATAATTATTAGTTTACTAATAACTTATCGGTGATTAATTTACTTATTATTATTAGTAAGTCTACCAATAACAACTTCACTACTTCATTAATAACTTATTAATGAGTTTGCTTATTTAAAAGCACAGTGATTATTATTAATGTTTATTTCTTGTTAACAACAAACAGAGGTGCCCACAAGGGGATTTCATGGCGCAGGTTGCGTCATCACAGTTTTTGAGGGGCCACATTTTGACCTGATTTTGAATTTTTGAGGGGGCACTTTTCTACGAAGTTATGAACTTTCTGATTGAAAGGTTTCGTACAAGGAGACAAAAGGAATACTGGGAACAAACCTCGGGAAGTATACTTGTATATGATTTACGGTACTTTTATTTCTAATGTTTTTAAGAAGAGGAGATCACTAAAATATCTCGAGGAGGTTAGGTTCATGCACGGTTGACTTGGGTAGGGGGATGGGCACCCCTTCTTGTTATTACGTTATACTGAGTAATAATTTATATCAATAGCTCTAATTAATTTTGCAACTAGTGTATATTGGTTTTTCCTCACCAAAACCATTTCACATGTGACAGAATGTTACATTACTCAATGAAATCAAAAATAAAAATATTGTTGCAAACACAGGTATTTCATTTCTTGTGTCTAAAACTATGAGATTAATTCCAAGAAAATAACAAACATAAGTTGTAGTTAAAATGCATTTTCCAAGGTGTTCTGGCTTGGATAGATTACAAAATGCTTTCAAACACAAAACAGCTTTTTATTGAATTCTTTTTTTTTTTTAAATTATATGTTTATAATTGTAAATTACAAGAGGATTTTAAAAGATATGATTACATTTTAAATGAGAACAAGTTTTAAACTTAAAATGATTAGTTTTATAAAATTAAATTTATAAAGTATAAAAATCACATCCGCTTATTGTTAAAGGCTGTGGTGTGGATTAAATAATATCATCATCATCATAGTCATATTCCTCTTTACCGCCTATGCAGTATGAGGTTGCCTCTTGTAGAGCCTGGACCAGGTGGACCTTTCCAGTACCAGCTCTCGTCTCCTGTTCCATTCCAAACCTCGCTTCTGAAATGCATCTCGCACGCTTTCTTCCCAGGAGATTCTGGGTCTTCCTCTTGGTCTCCTACCCTGCACGCGAGTCTCATATGTCTTCCGTGCGACTCTGCTCCGGTCCGTACGGAGAAGGTGCCTAAACCATCTCAACTTGTGTTCTTCTATAATGGTTTCGACCGCTTTGGCGTCGAGATTTGCGCGGATTGTAGTGCTGCGAATTCTGTCTCGTCTAGTCTTTTCCTC